GAATCTTGTCTCTTGTGGATGGTGAGCGCTGGTTGACTGTAGCGCGCCTATTCTTATACTTGGTCCTAACAATGCGGTTATTATCGTTATAGAAAATTTTTTAATAAAATCCATTTGAATCAGGGCGGTTTTTTTTTTTAATTAAACAGGATCTGCTTTTTTTCAATAAATAAACACATTGTAACAAGAGCAAACTGCCCGATTCGGTCCACCGTGCATAGAAATCAAGTCCTCCGTTTCGCTCCGGACAATAAATAAACAAAATAGAATATCGTACGATAGTTTATGAAGCAAAATTTTCCAAAATACCTGAACCATATCATGGCTCAAACTAACTTCAGGGAAATCAAAACTGTAAAGAGGATCTGCCATATCAAAAAAAATATATTTAAATAAAAACCATGTGGGTTAGGTACTGAGAAAAGGGCCTAAATTAACAAAAAAAAAAAGGTTCTGCGGAAATGTATTTTTATATTATAAATTCTATAATAAATTATAAAAAAATACAAACTTTAAAGGATTATATTGCAAAATTTTATTAACAGTATTTGCTCCTTAAATAAAAAATGGTCCTGAGCTAATTTTGGATTGGTTAAGCTTAAAAAAAAAGGGGGTTGAAAAAATTGTCAATTTGGGCCTTTTTCTCAGCACCTAGCCCACAATTACTAATAATATACTTAATATACTGTAATCTGAATCTCAAATTTAAAAAAATAATTTGTAATTAAAAAAATTCATAAAACCACACTGAAGTTGTCAATAAAAACAGGACAAACTTCATCTTAATACCGAAAAACAACAAACTTTAAAATATCTATCAAATAACGGATTTGCACAGTCTATATAAATATAGGAGCTCATCAATTATAATTCCGGTCAAAATTGTCGAACACTTGGAGTTAAATAATTTAGAATTTGACCAAATGATCGACAATTTTGACCGGAATTATAACTGATAGGTTCCTATATTTATTTGACAGCGTAGATCCAATATAAACTATATACGTATATATATCTTTTTAAAAATTATTTTCAACATTTACTTAACTATTTGCAAACTTCGGTGAAACTAGTAAAATTTAGAGTTTGAGTCTGGTTCGATCCCAGACTGGACCCAGACCGGACAGGACACAAACAAGACCTAGGAACACACTTTTTAGATTTTACTTATCAGAGCCGGCTTGGCTTAAGCTGGCTTAAGCCGATCCTATCTCTATTTTTCCCAAACAGTCCAATCTTCTACCAGCAGGAAAACTTTATATAATTGGTTGATTTGAGTCAATTGACTGGTCGCTAGTAAATTAAGCTGATTATTCAGGATATTCAAATAAGTCAGATTAGTCTTTTACAAAAAGTAGTGGCCATTACTTTTCTTATTCTAGAATCAAGTAACAGTGTTTTTTAAGTATGTAACGTTTCATTAATAAAACATCAACTTAGAAAACAAAATATGGAATCTGAATTGCTATTCAAATACAATAAGAAGAATCTGAATTTAATCTGAATAGCATCTGAAGAATAGGATCGAAGTTCTAGGTGTTAGACACCTGATTAATATCTAATATATAATAATATTTATGATGATTTTGCATATTATTATTGACTTATCAGTATGATCACTATTATTATGTCTATGGCATACAATATAATAAATTCACTAAAAATAATCAATATAAAATAAATATATATACTTGCAATTAAAGATTAAATTATTACATAAATATAATGAAGGAAACTGTAGATCATACTTAGAGATTTGAACTGGTTAGGCCTTAATCGGTGAACTGAACAAATTCGGGTTAATCGGTTGAGTAAAATGCATAATCAATTAATCCGTCATAACGATAATCGGTTACCCTGGTATAATCGATTAACCCAGAATAATCGGTTAACCTGACAAAGCTATATGAATTGAGACCTTTAATGTAATGATAACATTGAATAAATGCAATGAAAACATAGAACTAAAAATGTTATCAACCCAGTCTATCCCAGCCTGGTCAAGTCCTAATCCAGTTTCAGTCTTAAGAATTAACCGGTTCAGACTGGTCTGGTCTTAAGACTGAAAACAGTCTAATTTTTTTGACTTCAAACTGGTCTTAAGACTAACTGTGGTCTATCAGTTTAAACTAGACCACATAACATCCCTACATAGAATGCAGTAAAGATTACTCGATTCAAAAACTAGAGCCACTTTATCATTTTATTGCTGTTATAAATTGTATATATTTCATGATGTTTTAATTTTGTTTCTTTTAATATGAAGAATAATAATAAAGTCGAATGCACTTCCAAGGCCACTTCTATAGAACATCGTTCTTCATAGGAACTTCGCCTTGAACCCAATCCAAAATAGCATTTTAATTGCAAAGACATGATGATCCAAATCCACAACTTCACAACTTACGTATCTGATTTGATGGTGGGTCCAATTAACTTTAATAACTCGGATAACTTGGTTTATTGGTTAACCGGTTGACATGGCTAACTCGTCTAAAAAAAACCTTCACCCGGTCACCCGTCGGGTGGACAATAAGTCACCCGAGTGGAAATCGGATCAGCGGTTAACCTGAATAATCTGGTTGACCCGAATCAACCGAGCTAACTGAAACACTTTCAGTTGAGCCGATTGTACCCGGTTAAGTCCGGGTCGGTTAGTCGGTTGACGATTTTTAACTCGGTTCAAATCACTACTTCTACGATCAAATTTTCGGGTTCATACATTCAAATCAAATAGTACAATAATGCAGGCCAAACTTTTGTAAAGTCGGTACTTTATATAAACCATGATAAAAATCACATGAAATTTGATTTACTGAGATTTACATATGTAAATCAAATTTCATGTGATTTTTATCATGGTTTATATAAAGTACCGGCTTTACAAAAGTTTGGCCTGCATTATTGTACTATTTGATTTGAATGTATGATTCGAATCAGAGTTGGGATAACTTACCTGACAATGTAACTTACATTGTAAGTTACATCGTAAGTTACATAGCTTCATGTAAGTTACAAATACATAATGTTAATGCAGGCCAACTTTGAGATTACGTTCGGCTGGCATTAGGAATACTAAAATTCATAGAGAGGCAAATTCTTATTCAATACTAAAATATGTAAGTTACGTAAGTTACGTCAGTTAGAATGCGAATACTTATTTGCGCTCGTAACACAAACCATATAAGGGGGATCACTAAAGCGGGGTAACTATTAAATTGACGGTCCATGGGGTCGTGCAAATCAATTGATGCCAGCTAATGATCGACATGCAGCAGCCAATAGAATTATGCAACGTTTATAGTTATGCAAAGTTATAATTTAAAAAAAAAAAAAAAAAACTTTATACTAAATAATTACCTGCTTAAAATAATGAAGTTTTATGTGAGAATACTACTTATAAAAAAAAAACCCGCAGCGAACTGGTGTTTTGAAGTAAGCTTTGGGTAGAAAAAAACTCACGGTAAACAGCAAATGAGCTGCTTCCATTTATAACAAAAACCCCACGGCAAACAACAAGCAAACGAGAAGCTTCAGGTTGAATAAAAACCTCACAGCAAACGCAAGCGAGCATACAGTTTTTTAACAAATAACTGATTATAAAAAAAATAACAAATATATAAAAAAAAAAAAAAAATGACAAGCTTTAGTTAATTATAACGGCACGGTCACACCATAGCAATGTCAACTATCTGAGAACGTTTTTTTAATGTGAATGAACCATTTGAACTTTCTACTAAGGACTTTAACGAGCAGTAGGCGCTTGTTAATAACTTTTGGACAAAATTCAATAGTTATATATTAGATAATGGTGACGAACCTAAAACTTTCGTTTGTAGACTTTCAAAACCCAAAGAATCAAGTGAAAGAAAAGAAAATCTCCCCCTAAAAAGCATCGTATAACCTGGAAAAGACCTATTATTAATTGTGAAGCAAGAATTAGAATAACGTGGTTAGTGGCATCGAATATAGTTAGAATTGAGAAGGTAAGAATAAAGATAACATGTTTTAAAACATTGTAATGTAGTATTTTAATAAACAATAAAAAAAAAAAAATGTTTATAGGTGAATGGCATCCCTAATCACAGCCATTCGATAGAAGAAAATGATATGCAAAAACGATCAAAATTTATTAGAGATATGGTGGGCAACAAGGCAATCAAAGATTACAAACCTCCGACGATTGCGAATGTTATTA